AAACGGTAGTGTATGCCAATCCACCTACGTGTCTTCTTGAGTTGAAAAAATAAAATACTTGCTGCATGTAATCAAATTACAGAGGAACAAATTATTTCTGCTATTAACAGAGAATTTTTAATTCGTGTTGAATGTTGTTTACAGCACCATGGCGCACAGTTTGAACAATTTGTTAGATAAATAAAACTTTTATGAATAAAAAAAATCAATATTTGTAATTTTATTTTTATTATTTACGTATTTATTATTATCAACTACGTATTTCATACCCGTGCAAATAACATAAAAGCAAATTGCTATAACTCGGTCAATTTTTGACTTAGAAAAGAAATTCAACCACTAAAATTCATTAAAAAATACCAAAAAAAATAATTTGTGGTCAAAAATGGATCATGCCACTTAAAAAAAAAAAAGTTATTGTGCGCATGCGCAAAATTAGTTGTCAAAAAAATAGTCTAATTATTTGAAAATGTGTATAATAATGTTTATTAGTTAGCCGAAAAAGCAGAATTGAAATATATGAAGCCTGCACATAGTTATTGAGTGTTTCCACTTATCGTGATCACACTGTATATTAAATTTAACTCACATCAATTTTAAAACTTTCTTTCGAAATAACTGATTTCCAAAATCTTTAATTATGTATTCAAAGTAAAATTTTTTAAAAATATTTTAAGGATATCCATAATGGAATTCAATAAAAATATAATATTTAAGCCTGACAATCAAAATATATTTAGTTGTGACTTGTAATAGAGCACCATTACGTTACTATGTAAAGATATAATATATAAAGTATATTATTCGGAGCCTCCGTCTTTAGTCCGGTGGCCCTAGGTTTTTGCCTCGCGTACTTGACTTAAAGTAAAGACGGAACTGGCTGAGAATAAAAAAATTTGAAATTATATTTGTTTAATTAGAAATTATTCTAAACATTCTTAAATTTTGTTTAAAATTAATTTACAAAATATGTTGTCTTTTTTTATCACGTATTATACATGTGAATTTTTTTTTGAAAAATGCAACAATCTGTACATTTTTAGCACAATACGTCGAAAATATAGATTATTTGAATTGACAGACATGTGATTTTAGTGAAGAGACCATCCAGCACTCCAACAGAGAATACAAAGACAAACAAGTAAAGTTATAACTAGGTATGTAAGAACAATTTATTATTTAATTAATTCCGTGAATCATTAACGTCATTCTAATTAACTATTTATTAAAGTACTTTGATATTGTAGTTAAACACTCATCGTTGATCAACAGGTAATACGATTTTGATTCGTTTTTTATATGGAAAATGAAATATAAATAGATACCTACAGCAAATGTGGATTAACAAAGATATATTTTTAGTTATCAGTTTATCACTTGAAACTAGGTAAGTATTTAACTTTTCTGTCTGGGTGTACTATAATTTATCTCATAAAGCTATTTTTATAATATTATTATTATTTTTAATTATTTTGTTTAAACTGACGATAACCCACCATCTAAATAACATTGTACTGTCACTAAATGTATTTTACTTAGATTATAATTACATTTATCACATAATTCATGTCGATAGTGTTTTCTAACCTATTATATTGTAAATATATTGATTTTATATTAGAATATAATTAAACTAGATATTCATTTTTTTAATTTTTTTTTTTTATTTAGGTGCCACATTATATAATATCTAACCAAATAATAGTTGAATTAATAAATTGTTATAATTTATAATATGCTCTATTAAAATAATAAATTTATCTATTTTTTACCCTATTTTATTACAATAAATTAGCTATTGGCAACATTACGGCATTAGGTACTATAGATAAGCGGAAATCCACAATATTTTAAAATAATATGATCTATCGATTTCACACTTTATAGATTTTAAAATTTCGCTTCCATACATAATAAATAATAACATACACACAGGAATTTTCGATTAATTTCATATCGATAAATATGGTCGAATAGGTAGTGTTTTGTGACTTTCGATTAGGTAATCAAACAAAAAACTACCAACTATTTTAATAATTTATTTAACAACGAACTACCTTCATGAAAAAAATAAACGCTCTTAGACGGGTATACTATTAAATATTAATCACGGTCATTCTGTGAATAAATTGACTGTGTAAAAACATATTTACTGGACTATTTAATTTTAATCGGTGCATTTGCACATTATCAGCACGGTTCAATGTCGGAAACACCCATCAAAATGACTATGGACTATATGATATCATTTTCAATTTAAAAACTGCACTGAAACATTTTGACTGAACTGTTCATTTTTTGAAACACCGACCAGGTGACAATGAAATTAACTGATATTTTATCTATAAATTTGAAAACTGCACCGAATTATTATTATGACTGAGAACCCCAATGATTCAATAGACATTACAGTTCACAATTTTACATGTATACTGTTTAAAAAGCATATCCAATTCACGGTTATAGATAATCGACATTGAACGTCGAAAATGCTACTCGGGTGCATGGTTGACATTTTGTGGCAGGTAGGTAGTATGGCGGTGTAACAACCCTCTAGTTTTATTCGTCATTCGAGCGGTCAATACAATATTTTTACACCCCCAATATCAGAAAATATCGAGTGAGGGATAGTAGCGGACTATGAAAAGGATTCAACTCGGGAAAACTACCTACCTATTTAACATTTAACCGTCCCTTAAATTTGCTTCGTCCCGAATAAATTTAATGATTATTTTTAGCATATAAATACACACTATTATTTTAAAGTTTCATAAAACATGTTGCTATCTATTTAGTAATTACTATATAAACAAAATAACGCATATTTTGCACTTAACTAAAAATGGAGTAAAGCATATTAAATTAAAAAAATTATATATGCACATAGTTTTTTATAGTTTTTTACAGTAAATCACTTTTATTAAAACAATTTTAGTAGTCTTCAATACTAATATTACCTATTCAATACATTTTTCTCTACAAATATTATCACTTACTAAACAACTAGTTATTATATTTTTTATGAACAGCCCGCACCAAAAAATTTCCTACATCCCTCCGGCATAGTCTGACACTAATGAAGTGACAAAAGGAAAAATAACGGTTCATGGTTTATATTCCAATTAAAATTAAATTTGGTTTTATTGATGACAGTTTTTTAAAACTGTGTAATGTATAATATGTTTACTATACGCGACACATCTGTTATACAAATACCTAAATTTTGTAAGTACTTACAATCCAAATATGATTTTTTTATTTCTCCAACACTTGCCTACAAAATTATCTTACCATAGTCCAAAAATCATAAAAACCTCAAAGAAAATATAATAAAACATTATTTACAAATTAAAATTTCCAAATCCATAGTTGACTCTGGAATTTTTAACTTAACAGCCTCTTATCAACTGGTACTTATTAGTCGGTACAATGATATTTACCTACCTATTAATAAATTTATAATTTCTTGGCAAATTTTTACACTAATAAGTATAGTTATACAACTTAAATGTTAGGTACCTACTTACAAGGTACATAAGTTATATCAAGTATCTATTATATTTAGTTAATGCCTACGATTTACCTTGCACATGGTGACTATTCTTGCTGTCTGTAATCTGTTTAATAATTTAAAAATTAATTTAATTTTTATTATTACAATTAATAAATATTTTTAAGTTTTATCTTAATTTTAAATAATTTTAAATATAAAATATGATTTACAATGATAATACATATTAATTACATATTATATAACAATTTTAAAGCCATTTTTTTCAATGTAAATAATAATAAACTCTAATACTTAATAAGTATACCAAGTTACTTTTTTTATTTAGTTTCCTCTTTCTACTTACAAGTATAATTTATTTCATAGCAAACAAATTTACAGATCACCTTTAACAACTTTTATATAGACAAAAAGCTAACCTATTGAATGAATGATAATTAATTTAATAGATAATATTTGAGTAGTATTAAAATAATCTTTTATTGTATTATTCAAAACATATTTACTCTATTATTATTAATTATTATTATTAAAAGTACCTGACTATCTATTATAACATATTAACATAATTATTTTTCTGATATAATTAATATTAGAATAAACTATCAAATGTAAGAATATTATCTAGGGCCTAGTGTAGGTTATTTTCAAGGACCCAAATATCTGCACTCCCTTGGATAAACTGAATGCATGATTGTTTTATTTGCTATCACAATTTAAAACTATAAACAATCAATGACAAATACGTATAAATATAAAACTAATAATAGTAAAATAATATATTATTTAATTGAATTAATAAAGTACCACTTTTTAAACTTATACCCGCTCAATAATTTAATATTTTAATTAGTTTGATTTTTATTTATCAAGTATTGCACTTTTATGAGTTATACCGATGAAATTCAAAATTTTTATGTTTATTATACTTCAAAACAAACTGATTTAACTTAAGAACATGGTATATTACACTTAATAGTATTAATTTACATAAAAACACACTTTTTCACATTTTCAGTGATTTTTATACTATTCATATAACCTAAATATCCAAGCCTTACTTTAAAGATTAAAGTTTTGTAGTAATTATTTTTTATCAAACTGCAATAATCCTATGTAAAACTTTAATATTCTTAATGTAATTAAATAATTACCTTACTAAAATATTGTAAAACAACGATTACGAGAACAAACTAAATATTGTTTTGTTAGGTCATTTATTTTAGATCATTAGAGTAGTCATATATTGTTTAGTTATAGTGTAAAATGTACAAAATATATATAAAACATTTTGGAAGGTAACAATAATTAAATGGGTTCACACAAGTTTTACAATAATATAATATTAAACGAATAATTGTATATGGCTTATTTTCTACATGTACAAACTAAACCATGTATAAATGAAAATAATGTATAAGTAAAAATTAATGAATAAATAATAAAATATTAATATAATATAAAATAACTATGGATTGATAACATAATATCAATCCCAGAAAATAACAGTACACAATAATATCGAACTATTAACATAATAAGTCATGAACATAATAAATCAACTCATGAAAACTACATTAGTAAAATATGTAAAAAAAATCATTACACATAGGTAACATGAAAATATAAAAAAAGTTATACATTTTCATCATGTAAAATAATCATTTTATTTTCACAAGAAGAGGAACTATCATCATCCTGTTCCAAAATTATGTTATTCATATTATGATGTTTGGGTGCTATATTATCCATTTCATCATCTACTTCTGAATCTTGTTTTAAGCCAACTACAACGCTATTACCTTCCTGTAGAAAATAATAAATGAACTACTTAAAAATTTAATAGTATTATAAACACAATATCAATTAAAAATATATTTCTAATTCTCATTGAATTAGTATTTAATGTTAATTAATACATACCATCATTTTTTGTTTTAAGTGAGTTCTAACATGTTTTTGTAAGTGGTCACTACGCATAAATCGTTTAGGACATTCATTACATTGAAACCTCTTCTCTCCTGTATGTGTTCTATTATGTCTCTATAATTTACAAATATTTTGATTAAAATTCAATATTTATATATTTATAAATTTAAAGTATAATTTTATACCTGAAGTTCATCTGATCTAGTAAATCTTTTACCACAGTGTTGCCAATTACAAATAAAAGGTCGTTCACCTGTGTGCCATCTAAGATGAGCACGTAAATGAGATGTTTTTCCATACATTTTATTACAACCCGGCACATGACAAATATGTACCCTTTTACCAGCGCCATTACTATAAACAAAATAACTATTATTAGCACTAAGAAATAGAAATAGATTTTCTTTATAAAATAATAATAGTAATTTAAATACCGTTTTTCACCATCACAACAATTGGGACATGTACAAGCTACTCTTCTTGTTCGCGGTTTATCCTCACAAGGAGAATCATATTCAGTAACAGCAGTTCCATCTTGGAACATTGCCCCAGCAATTGGAATAATTTGCCACTTTTGATCCATATTTTCTATTTGTTGCCCAGATGCTATAAAAACAATTCACAATTAAATAATTTATTTAATTTATAATATTTGAAACACATACTAGCATTAATGACTTGTATATTTTGTAGACCCGGTGGTATTGTTTGAGTAGCATTAGATGTACTTTGTCCACCAAGGGAAGTAATGATTTGAACAGTTCCAATTCCTGGTATATTCACTGTTTGCGGTTGATTAGTGTTTTGGGTAGTTGCTGGTAACTATTAAAATAAATATTTTAAATTATATACAATTATAATTTTTAAAAATATGTTTTTTAACATTTATTTTAAAAATACAATTTATAACTGTATTTACAAAAAATATATTATAAAAGTAAATGATCAATATTATATACACAATAAGACCATAGAATAGATGAGATTTTGAACATTATATGTATTATATATTTTTAAGCTGGATTAGAAATTTGTTTTTCCACAAGAAACCAATTGAAAATTAGAACATGAAGACCATGCCTACTATAATTACTATTTTATAATTGGATATTTTTTTTTAAATCAAAATTTAAAAACATACACATATACAGCAGAAAAATATTATGTAGTTTTTTTATAGTATTTAAAAATCTTACCTGAACAACATTATTTCCTCTAATAGTAACACCATTATTGTTTTGTAAAAACTGAGGAAGGTTGTTTGTTGGTATTACTGTTAATTGTTGAGGATTATCTAAATAAAAAAAAGTTTAGTAAAAAAAAAATTAATACTTATTTTTACTAAAGAAATAATTGAATTAAATTGTTAGCATCCTTACTTCCAAGAGTTAATTGTTGAGGAATTAGTTGTAAAGTTTGTCCAGACTGGGTTTGAATTGTCACAGGTTGTGGTTGTGGGCTATTTTCATTACTACTCGAAGATGAATTCGGTGATGAATTTGTCTGAATATGAAGTTTAATATTAAGTAAAATATTTAAATTCTAAATGCTAATTAATAGGTAATATTAACTTACATGCATGACATTTGGTGAAGTAGCTGGAGTTGTTGCATTTTGGTACTGATTATTTGCACTGGATGTATTTACTAACTGTATTTGTTGGCCATTACCAATTGGTGATGTTAATTGTACAGTTTGTATCTGACCATTACTATTCACTATTTGTGCCATTTGAGGCGACTGAGTCATTTGAGCCAGTTGTGGGATTTGCATCAATTGACCTTGATTGCCCTGTATGATATTGGGTAAAGATGAAGCAAAAGATTGTATAGGAAGATGCACCGTTTGATATAAAGTCTGGCCATTAGATGATATAGGTACTTGAACAGGTATAGTTTGCTGAACAGAAGGCAACTGCACTACTTGTGGCATGTTCGATTGACGTACAGAAATGTTTTGCCCTATCATATTAATTTTAAATTATAAGATGCAACATATAAAGATTAATTTATTTTACAAACCTGATTGGAGCTGTATTGTTTGCAATGGTCGTACTATCTGCCCTGTTGGTGTGAATATGGTAGGTTGTCCTTGGCCAGTATTAGAATTTGTAGGAATAAACAATGCTTCTTGTCCATCAACTGTTATTGTTTGATTATTTTGCTGTTATAAAATAATAATTAAAATAATAAAACAAACTAGAAAAAACTAAAAACATAGAATTTTTAAGACTGCTATTTACCTGAATAAATTGACCGGGTAATCCCTGAACTGAAAATATAGGTTGTATTGTTGTGCCATTTGATGTTATAGTCTTGATACCTTGATTTTGTTGGTTTTGAGTCAATTGTTGTACTTGCTGCATAGGCAATAAGTTTTGTAAATTGGCTAAAGTAATAATTTGAGGCTGGCCATTGTGCATTTGTACTATAGTCGGCTGTTGATCTTGTTGTTGTTGCTGTTGTTGTTGCTGCTGCTGCTGTTGCTGTTGCTGTAACAATATGAATATATTGTTAATTTATATATTATTACTTTAAGACTTGGAGTGTCCTACAACATACATGAGATGAAGAGAAAGTAGTCTTGGACATCTATCATATCATACATGATGGTATATAATATAATATGCATTATACGACACTATTTTAGATATGTTTAAAATTGCAAAGATAGATACTAGCTTAAAAATTGATAGAAGATATTTAATATGTAGAAGTCAAAATACAATAGATTAAAATTATAGATATATCATGAACTATAGATTCATAATATAGCATTACCACGATTATGCCCAATCGATATTATAAAATAAAATCTCGATTACATTAAAGTCACTATCTGAACTGTACATTTTATTTGATTTATTTAAACCTGGTTAATTTTAATATGTAACAATCAATTTGATAAGCCATGGGAATAATGACAAAATTAATTGCATGGATTTTTATAATGTTCAGAATATATCTATGCAGGAAGATGATTGACTCTCATATGAGATATTTAGAACAAACATAAGTTAAAAATAAGTGCAAAAAATAATATCAGGGTAGTAGAGAAAAACATTTAAGATTTTAAGTAGCCACTCGACCAAGCAGTCTTGTCTTGTCAACTATTCAGATCCAAAATCCCATTTCACATAATGTTCACCACCGAGATACGTGTGGGGGAGTGATAGAACTTCGCTTGGCTCTTGGTGGGGGGTGCACGCGGTATGTACGACGTTCGGAACGCTTTTCGTTACATCCTTAAATATCGCCCCCTCCGCCCATTTTCCCGACCCCGCGGCACGTCCGCGTCAACGAAGAATGACTCCTCCCCCCCATTAATGTCACGCGTAAACACGTACACGCACACATAAATACACACAGATGCACACACATACATATACATACACGCGAACGATTGTGGTGTGCTACGACTACCATTGACCCAAGGAATTGGCGCGTTTTCGCTCGGAAAAAGATATCTTCTTGTTAAGCTCGTAGTCGAATCAAAAAAAAGCAACGGTAGTAATGAAGTCCTACTAACCACCACAGTCACTTTTCTCGCTTCTCGTCAACATCGAGTCGTATGTGACGGCGGGCGCTTACCTTTACGTCTTTTTCATCTTCGGTTTCGCTCATCGACTCCTTGATTTCATCGTCCTGATGATCGTCCGCCTCCATCGCGTCCAGAGATGCCGCCGCTTATCGTCTGGTTTAATGCAAACCGTGCGATTTGTCACCGACGGCAAAAAAGCGCGATTTTAAGTAAAAATAATAAAATATATATTTTATCCCGTTACCGTTAATAACTGTCAGCGATGACAGCGAGTCAACTAAAATACGCACGGCACATAGCAATAGATGGTATGGTCACCAAATAAGTATGATGCAAAATATGTCGGTAATCGACGCTCACTAGTACAACGCGAACACGGTGTAAACAAAATATTGTACCTGCTACGATGAGACGCGTACGCAATACAAAAATGATTTTCGATACTAATTAAATGCAATAATAACAAATAAAAAAAAAATTATAAACAACAACAACAACAAGAAAATAATGCGTAAACGTTATGAGGCGGTGTCGAAAAGCGGAGCCAGATATTACGGACCAAGCCCAAATGTACCCGATTGGCAGTAGGCCTCGCTCGCCCTACCCTACCGCCCGGGACTAGCACACACAAAAGGCGGCCGCTACGATAATAGAATGTTACGGTATTTATTGTGCACGGGCCAAAGTGTAAAAAAAATCGCCAAATGTCCGGAAAAATTCTCAAACAATTTTATTCGCAATACGTACGTTGTCATGTCACGATCATAAATGCGCACCAGCATAAGTTAATTTTATATCTCATAGCCATTAAAATACGAGAAAACCGAAAATTTCGAGCGTTCCATAATTACGCCCAAGTTTTAAAAAATGAGTTGGTAAGTCTGTACGACAAACGCACACGACGTCTAGTCACGAGCGGCTAATGAAACTGTTCTCGCTGGCCCGGCCGCCGCAAAGACATTGGTTTCCAATTCAGCGCTGTAAATTTCTAATTTTTCTTACCAACAACATGCTCTCGTACTTCCCGTTTTCCTCAGCTCTCGTTAGTCGTAGAAACATAATTTTTTCACCTAAATAAATTTATGAAGTTTTTCTAAACGACTACGTTCCAGTTTTTTTATATCTTTTTCTTGTCTATTTTATTTGATTATTAAAAAAATTTAAAATTTTTACAATTTCAAATGCAAATATAATCGGTTTGAAAAAAAAAATCATAAATCTAACACGCAGCTGTCTAGAGGAAACTCTCAAGTTTATTTTGATGATAGAAAATTTTGTTTCCACGTGTCTAACGAGAGCTAAGGAAAACGGGAAGTACGAAAGCATGTTTTTACAGTCAAATTTTGTTACCAAAACGGCCTCTTAAAACCTGTACATCACCCGATTTACAAAAAAATATTTTACGGGTATGATATTACGAATTCGACCATCATGGTGTAGAATAAAAGTGCGCGACGCGCGAATATTTAAAACGTTCGGTCTCATCCAATTTACGTCACGAGTTCATAACATTATGCTAGTGTTGTACATTTTAAGTACGATAACTCTCATCAGATTTACGTACATCATCATTAATCATTCATCAATCATCAATAATTGTTATCATAAAATAAAAATGCTTAAACCAATGATAATCAACACATTCGTGTTTGTGATCTGTCTGCCGAAGAGACGAATCGAGCCAACCGGTGTTTAAATGTCGGTCAAACGTCTGACAGCGTGTAACATTTAGAATTCGGACGATTCGCAATTCGCGGCGTTTGGAGACCACTGGCCGTTGGCAACGCCGTCGTGTTGCTGGCACCGATTTGCCTTTCTAAAAACGTCTTTTCACAGTGTCGGTGGCATTGGTTTTGGTGGGCGGGGGCGCAGAGGCGGTCAACGTACGCACACACGCAACCCCGCGTCCGTTGCTTCAGCACCGTCATCACTGCCTTCGGGTGACCCACACCCACGGGTGTGTGCTCAACAGCCCTCCGACCACCCATCACCCCTTGAGCCGCGCGGGTGATGGGAGGGAATATGGTCCGCGAGGCGTTTCCCGTGAACCTAGCCGCGCGCGACATAATATTAATACGGTCCCCAAAAAAATAAAAAAAAAACACATGCATTTCCTCCTCGGACGACGACGAGCGACAACGTTGACATCGTTATTATTATCATCGTCCGGCTGCGCTCGGTCACCGGACACCTTCAGGCGCCCTCCCCTGTCATCAAGGACACGGTGCATACCACAGTGGCGTCGTCCACTTGTTAATACTCGTTTATCGTAAATACTCGTCGCTTTGGTGCGGACGTTTCTTGTCTGGCCTACGTGGTGACGGGCACCGAAAACATTTTTGTTTACGAACCCGCCGTAGGCAATATGATTTAAAATCATGGGCGTGAAAGCCAATTTCTACGTGATTTCGATTTTAATATTAAAATTTAAAAGTTGTCACGTGTAACATATTATTAGGTAGGTATTATTAGCTTCAACACGTTTCACTCTATATTCTACGTTAAAAATAATATGATATTGTAAAATCTCTTTATATATAGCGTTTACTTCATAAGACAGGAATTTCCTTATAACGAAAAATCATATAAGTCTCCTATAATCTATATCCCGTAGGCCGTATGTTTTAAGTGTACTTTAATTTCTCTATAACAGAAAAATCACTTGGTCCTGTGCGAATAAGTTACAATAGGATATTTTACTGTTCGTTGTTTTAAGTAGATCTCTTATAGTCTAATGTGTACGTAAAATATATATTTTCTTACCAAACTACAGGTAAATTTCCACCAAAATTAAAAATTATGTATATTATGAGCATTAATTAAAATTAGCTAAAAGTCAAGTATGTGTTCATGTAGATAATAAAAACAATATAATTTTAATTTCGTGGGAATAAAATTATATTATTATTTTTATTTTTTTTGAAATTATTATATTATTTTATTATCGTTTATGGTAAAAAAGTTATGAAAATAAAATAATGTAAAAAATATTATTAATAATTTCGCATTTACTATTATCAGTATTACACAATATATTTACTATAAAATTATTCAATTAAATCTATAGTTTATTATTTTATCATTTATCAATGATAATTACTATTTTATTTATTTTTGTTTTTTTGAATACGTAAAACATTTAAATATATCATTATTTACTCTAAAATATCCTCTTACCAGAAACAACTTTACACACAATTTTATCTTAATATGAAATATTGCTATTTACCGAATTTTCTTTAAGTTTTTTATATTTTTACAATTATGTTTCATAGTATAAAAGTAAAAAGAAAAGAAGTATTTGTGACCAGTGTTTATTATTTACACTTATGAAAAATCAAGAGTATCTAACTATTTACAAAGAAAAGTTTAGTATATTATACGAAAATGTGCTGAATGAAGTTTTCTCCGTTTTATTTTAATTGCTGAACATTAATTTTACTTAATAAGAACTGCAGATTCAGATTAAAAATATAAATATACTTGTTAATCTCACACGTCGTTGTTTGTGACAAACTAAATAATACCAGTAGATTTGCTCACGCTGTCTAAAAATTATGTATACAATTATAATGTATATTACAGAGTATGTGTATGCTATATTCCAAAAAAATGCAATCAAAAAATAACATTTTATATTAATTTAATACTGTTTAATTCCCCTTGAGAGATGAATTTTGAAAAATCCTTTAAGTAATTGGTCTTTACACCATGAAACGAAACACTGGCCAAATTTAATATTCACAGCTTCTAAGACTCTAAGGTTCTAGCTAAACGATAATGAATCAATGAGTCAGGATAATATGTTATTTTATATATATAAAAGATATATATTATGTTATTATATGATATATCATTATACTTGAGTGTTCATAGTTATGATACTCGTAAATATAATATATATATAATAAATTAATGTAACATATTTTAATACATGTTTATTGTTTTCATTTTGATCATGTATATTATTTTCATTTTTTAATTGACATTACTAAAATATAACAATATTTTTTTACTCATCTGGAAGTGCTCATTATTTTGTAAAACTTTGTGTATTGCCCAACATATTTTTGAGATGATTTTTCTTAATGTTTAAACTTAATAACTGCAGAAAAATTCAAATCTTTATATCCCTGACTTATAGTAGCTAAAAAACGAAGAGTATTAACAAGACGGTTTTCAGTTTAAATTGAATGTCGTAAGACCTTATTTTACTTTTCAATATATGGCCTAATTAAATTTAACAAGTATTGGAACAAATAATTTCCTATTTACAATAATTGTTAAAATCTGACGATTCGTATAATTTGTTTCAAAAATTTTGACATGATAAGTTTATATGCAAATATGTCTTCTTATATACAATAACCACTGTATTTCGTTTTCTCTTTTCTTTCTCGTTATATGCACTTCTATACATTATACATGTGCCAAAGTAATTAAAGCTTTTTGTATTTTTTATTAGATTGACATCATTAAACCACGATAATATTAACGTCGAATACTATTAAATACAAACTATCTCAATCCTCCTAAAATCTAAATTAAATTAAACTAGCCTATTGAGTATCGACTATCGACAAACAATTGAGAAGGAACCACATTGTAGTACTGGTAGTTTATCGATCAGCAGTATGGTGATTGAGAAGCGCAGATTTTTGATATATAGGTATTATATCAATTTCTTTGACAAAAATTTTCAAAACGATCGTTCGTATATGAAATATCACACATTTATTTTAAGTGATCGAAAGTCCTGCAAAATGCTAGTGAAATATATAATTTAAAAATAAATGGATGTTTGATGATAATATAATTTTAATAGAATTATTTTGTAATAATAGTTATAAATTATAATGATGAAGAATGCATAATTTATTTTTTATTATTAATTTGGCTATGTTAATTATATGTATACATTAAGATATTAAAATATATTATATTGATTTACTCCATATACGTATATTTTTAAATTTACCATTTAAACTGTTATGAGTTTACCGAGTTAATTATTTTCTTAATTAAATGTTGATAATTGTGTAATAATGTGTTGATTAAAATTAAATTATATTTTATGAAATTGTTATTTTTAATATGTCCATTTTATTTATACGAAGATATGTAATTTTAGAAACCAACGTGTGATTGGAGTATCGGACGCAATCATGATTCAGGATACTTTTATTTGGGACACAATAAGACTTCCTGAAATTGTGTATCATTGACATAATATCTACCATGTTTATAAATTATTTAATTATCTTTATTATTATTAAAGATAATCCTTGGCGTCGTAGTCATTAGGAGAATAAATAAAGGTATTTAATAATATATAAAGTATTATTTAGTATCTAATAAAAAGGTTATATAACAATAAATTAATAATTTATGAGCCTTCAAAAAATCTTATCTAAGGGAAACATGTTAAATTTTATAAAAAACTTCCTTACTGTCAGAACCTTTCAACTTTCAAATCAAAGTTAACCAACTGTTGTCAACCAAATTTGACCAACAAAATGGTATACCACAGAGGTTAACACTATCCATCACACTTTTTCTTGTTTAAATTACTATA